ACAGGAGACCCAGACCCGGCCGGCCCCACCCCCTTGGGTGAGACCTAGACTCAACTGGCCCCACCCCCGTCAAGCCCCTCTGGGTCGGGGGCACAGCCTCAGGTCCCCCGGCCCAGCGCTGGGGCGCAGGGCACGGCCTGAGGTCCCCCGTCAAGCCCCACTGGGCGGGGGTGTGTGGCCTGAGGTCCCCCGTCAAGCCCTGTGGGTGGGGGGCACGGCCTGAGGTCTCCCAGCCAGGAGCCAGGCCTGGGGCACGGCCTTAGGTCCCCCCTCAAGCCCAGGCCTGCCCCTCCTCCCCCACAGGGTCATACCAGTGCTGAATGGGGATGCACACAGGCAGTGGGAAGTTAGTGCTGGGGGCGAAAGTCCCCGTCCCTGGCCCTGCCCACAGACTGGTCGTGACTGGGACACCGTAATGGACAAATTAGCATATTATCTCTTCATTATATAGAAGATAGGATCAGGCTCTTAAAAAAAAAACACACATCAATTGGTTGCCCCCTGCACACCACACCCCCTTCTGGATTGAGCCCAAAATTGAGGAATGTGCCCTGACGGGGAATCGAAACAGCAACTCTTCAGTGCGCACGATAATGCCCAACTGACTGAGCCATGTGGGCCGGGGCAGACATTCTTTTTTTAAAAAAATGAGCTATAAGTCATATCATAACTTTCATCCTTTATAAGCATACAATGCTGTGGTCTTTAGTATATTCATGAACACAAGCAACCATCACCATTCTCTAACTCCAGGGCGTTTTCCCCACTCCAAAATGAAATCCCATGCCCACTAGCAGTCACTCCCTCTGACAATCTCAAATCTACTTTCTGTCTCTGTGTATTTGCCTGTTCTGGATATTTCACACAAATGGAATCAGGTGATATATATGGTCCTTTGTGACCGACTTCTTTCACTTAGTGTTCACAGTCTATCTTTTTGTAGCTTGTATAAGCCTTTCATTCTTTTTTATGGCTGAGTAATATTCCATGGCTAAATTATAGTTTATCTGTTCATCAGTCCACACACATTAGGTTGTTTTTACTCTTCGGCTGTGAAGAATATGCTGCTGTGAACATTCTTGCACAACGAACTCAACATTCTGACTTTAGGACCCTGGTGCCTAACCTGTACACTTGACTGTCTCCCTCTGTGCACTGGAGACTTTTCAGGAAATGTCCCGCCTGTGGAATTGGCCGAGGTTGTTTGACTTACATCAATGGCCTCTAATCACTCAGTGGACATGGCATTTGTTGGTTTTGCAGTGTTACAGAATAACGTACAGTTGACCCTTTTTGTTGTTGTTGTTGTTTAACATCAAAGGTTCGTCACTGAACAAATATCTATTGAGAGCCTTCTGTGTGCATGGCTTGCAGTCCAATGGGGAGACACACATTAGTCAGTTACAAATTATGAAACATAACGTTGGCTGTCCAGATGCATTGTTTTTAGAAAGAGCCTGCTGGGCTGTGCTTGCCCTGGAGGAGCAGACCTGCATTGTGCTCCCTTTGTGACCATCTGGGAGTCTTATTGTCATTTAGATGGACCCAAACCAGAATGCTGCCACCTTCTTGCCCTGATCACTCCCTTGAAGGCTGCAATGAAAGTTTGCTTCTTGTGACTGCCATTCTGGTAGGCGTGAGGTGACACCTCATTGTAGTTTAATTTGGCTGCAATGAATTTGCATCTTGACTGTGTTCTTGGGCCCAGCTTTGTGCTTGGGTGATCCTTTCTATCTTGTTCCTCAGGCTTTTCCTCCCTTCCCTATCCCAGCACGCCTCCTGTGCCAACAGGCATGGGTTAGGAGAGGACTTTGCATGCCAGTTCAGCTGTGCGTGACTAGCTGTGGGCGAGTCTGTTCTAGCCACACTGGAAACCGCCTCTCCCTTGGACAGCCTGGTTCCCTCGCCCTCTTGGACCTCCCTCAGCAATGTGCCAAATCAGGCAGGACAAACATGACCCTCTCCCTAGGTCTCGGTTGAAAAACCTGAAGATCAGGAGATGGGTCCCACCCCAGGCAGGTGGAAGAGCTGGAAGGAGACCTGGCTTTCCGACTCCTACCTCAGGCTCTCACTGCATGCTGTTTAGACTTATACTTCTCAGATTTTAATTTCCTAAAGGCAAGGGGCAGACTCCACGCTCATAGTGTCATTGACCAGCTTTTCTAAAAAAAAAAAAAAAAAAAAGCACATGGTTCTTTAAATGTTCTATTTCTTGGGTGAATCCTCACAACTAAAAAAACAAAAGAGAAATTGAAATGTGAGACTAAAACAAACAGGCAAATCAAAAGCAAGTTTATTCATTATTCAGCAAACTTGGATCGAGTGCCTGTTGTATGCTGGCACTGTTCTGGACACTGGGCATACAGCATCCTTAAAGTGCTCTTGTTCTAGGTGGGGGAGGCGCACAGTAAATAAGTAACAGGTTAGGTGATGGCGAAAGGCGTGAAGCGAAATGAGGAGGGAAATGGGGCTTCAGAGCGATGGGCTGGGCCCTGTGATAATGGGGTCATCAGAGAAGCTTTCTTTGAGATAACACTGAGTGAATCTGGAATGAAGGGAAGGAGCGGCATGTGGATTTGCAGGGAAGAGTCAACACTGTGGTTTTTATCACTGTCTGGAACTGAGGTTGTCCAACTGCAGCCCACAGGCGGAATCTCACCCGCTTTCTGTTCTCATGAACAAGAGTGATGGGGACACAGCCGTGTCCATTTGTTTAATGTTGCCTATGGTTGTTCTCCTGGTACAACAGCAGAACTAAATCATTGCCAAGGAGAACAGATGGCCCACAACATCCAAACTATGTACTATTTATGGCTTTAAGGAAAAGTAATTGTCCACCCCTAATCTAGAACAGTGATTCTCAAAGGGTGTTTTGGAAACCTTGAAGATCCCCGAGACCCTTTCAGGGGTCTGCAAGGTCAAGCTGTTTCCTTAATAGTACTAAGACTATTAAGTTTTAGTTTGCTTGGTCCTGGGGAGTTTTCCAAAGACTTCACAACGTGCAAAACCGCAGCAGAGCAAGTGCACATGCTGACAGGAGAGTCCCTCTCCTCCAGTCAGACATTAAAGGGACTTGCAAAAAAGGTAAAGCGACGTCACTCTTTTGACTACTTTTTTTGTTTGTTTTGGGAAATTTACAGTTACTTTCTCAGAAAAGATGTCAACTTGTAATGGGTTTAATCTTGTTATCTCAAATTCATGAGGAAGTACTTTTTAAATGTGTCAGTTTCAATTTCTGAAACAGTTTATTTGAATACATGTTACCCACATAAACAAACGTTTCTGGGGTCTTCACGCATTGAGAGTAAAAAGGAGTCCTGAGGCCAAAAGGTTGAGAAAGGCTGATCTAGAAGTAGCCAATTCTATTTTTTCTTCTGAAGCTGCAAGTTACCCAAAGATGTCATTTTGTAGGCAACAAGCCTCCGTTTCTCATCGGTAGAACGATGGTCAGCCAGGGCTTTGTATTGCATGAGATGAAGGGTGAGTGATAGGGTTGAATTGTGTTCCCCCAAAAAGTTTTATTGAAGTCCTAACGCCTAATACCTTACAATGTGACCTTATTTGGAAATACAGTCTTTGCAGCTGTAATTAGTTAAATTGAATGAGGTCGTTAGGGTGGGTGGGCCTTAGTCCAACATGACTGGTGTCTTTATATGAAGGGGAAATTTGGACACAGACAGGGACACAGGCAGAAATGGCCTGATGTTCTACAAACTCAGGAACAACAAAGATGGCCTGCAAACCACCAGGAGCCGGAGCAAGGCTGGAACAGATCCCCTACCCAGGCCTCAGAAGGAACCAGTCCTGCTGACACCTTGACCTCAGACTGCCAGCCTGCAGACTATGGGAATAAAGCTCTGTTTTTCAGGCCACCACAGTGTGGTGCTTTGTTACAGTGGCCCTAAGAAATGAAGACAATGGGAAATTGTTTTAGAAACCAAATATGTCGGGGAGCCCTGTGCTGGAGCCACCTTCTTCCAACTGCTGGTGGACCAGTCGCCTCCATCAAGTGCCCTGTCACCTGACACCTTCCCACCATTTCATATTTCTACATTTTCTTCTCTTCTTCATTTCTGCCTCCTCTTCTGTCCCCTTCACTCCTCCTATGGTTATTGTATTCACAGTGCAGGTCATGCAGGGTCGCTTTTTGACCCCGAGAGTGTCCGACCAAACCCAGATGGAGCCCTTCCAAGGGAACTGCACTCAGCTCATTCTCACCACCCCTCAGGGGAGGGACTGATGCAACCCCCAGCTGGCAGGTGCAGCAATGCAGGGGAAGGGTGGTGAGGTCGCACAGCTTGGTAGGGGCAGGCTGGCTCCAGCATTTGTGCTCTTAACCGCAAAGTGAGATGTGTGGTGTCAGAGCACATATGTTAGGATTAGATTCTATCTTCTGCTATAACAAAACTCCCCAATAACAGTGGTATAGCTGGGAGCAGGGGGCGGTGGGACGTTCTATTAGGCTTCTCTGTGCCTTCCTTTAATCCGGCCACGGCTGTGGTAACCAGGATTTGGAGTGAGCAGTTCCATTGTGTTGTTCAAATCATGAATTTACATCTGTTCATGCTTCCTTTCCACTGTGAGGAGAGTTGACAAGTAAGCAGAGCAGCATGGACAGCTATTCATCTGTGAACATGGTCATCACTGATGCTGTGGAGTCCTGGTGCTCAGGAGAGAAGGCGGGGCTGCGGTGGGCCTCCTGGGGCCTGTCCAGGTTGTCCTCCAACCGGAGAGACAGGTTGGTGCAGACAAAGAGAAGAACTAAACCCAGAAGCTTAGGCAAGAGCTAAGAAGCATGGTTGGCTCAAGTTACCTGTGTTCTTAGAAATAGTTAAATATTAATGTAGGTTTTGCTTATCAGAGGCCAAAATTCAGAGCACAGAGAGGTAGGCCAGGTCTGTGAAGAGGGGAAGGTAGTCAGTGTAGGGAAAATAGCCTGGAGCCCTCGGGGTCAGGCAGCGTAACCCATTTACTCTTGCTGCTACCTGCACTCCACAGGGATGGCCTGCCTCCCCCGTGCGGTCCGGGGCATTTCTGCAGGGGTTTTCCTCTTAGGGCTTTGGGGTGTGACTCTCAGTGACAAGCTGCTGGTGGTCCCCCAGGATGGAAGCCACTGGCTCAGTATGAAGGGCATAATTGAGGTGCTTAGTGACAGGGGCCATGACATCGTGGTGCTGGTGCCAGAAGTCAATTTGCTTCTGGAAGAGTCCAAACACTACACCAGGAAAATCTATGCGGTGCCCTATGACCAGGAAGAGCTACAGAGACGCTTCCGTACCTTTGGGAACCGGCACTTCGCTGAGAGATCGCTCCTGACTGCTCCCCTGGTGGAGTACAGGAATAACATGGTCGTCGTTGACCTGTGCTTCATCAACTGCCAGAGCCTCCTGAGGGACTCGGCCACTCTGAGCTTCCTCCAGGAGAGCAAGTTCGACGCCCTGTTCACAGACCCGGCCATGCCCTGCGGGGTGATCCTGGCCGAGTTCCTGGGCCTGCCCTCCGTGTACCTCTTCAGGGGCTTCCCGTTTGCCCTGGAGCATACGTTCAGCCGAAGCCCGAACCCCGTGTCCTATATCCCCAGGTGCTACACCCAGTTCTCAGACAGGATGACTTTCTCCCAGCGGGTGGCCAACTTCCTTGTTAATCATTTGGAGAACCTCGTATTTCACTTTCTATTTTCAAAGTACGAAGACCTCGCATCAGACCTCCTCAAGAGACAGGTACACTTACCCACCTTATATCAGAAGGGCTCCATTTGGCTCTTGAGATATGACTTTGTGTTCGAGTATCCCAGACCAGTCTTGCCCAACATGGTCTTCATTGGAGGGACCAACTGTAGGAAGAAAGGGGTCCTGTCTCAGGTGGGTGGCTTTATTTCTTTGTGATTGCCCCGTTTCTTCACTCTCTGCTTCCCTCACTGGTCTGGCTCCTCCTCTGATTGTCACCTGGGAGGGCCACCTGACGGAAGGGATGCCAGGCTAGGAGGAGGGGGTGGAGGAGACCTGAGGCTGAGGGTTTGAATGATGCAGAGACTTTGAATGAGATAACACTCATGCCTGGCAACAGCGGCAGTTATCTTTAACTGGGTAACCTGGGGACAGTCATGGAAGGAGCCTTAAAATTTTCCAAGCCAAATCCTGCACTTACCTGTTGAAGAAACAGGTGAAGCCTTGACCAAGAGACACAGCTAAGAGGGTAGTCCAGGTCAAAACCCATTCTCCCAACTCTGTGCCATGCTTTTTCCCTGGTCCCTAAACCAGGGGTTAACAAACTATAGTTGGTGAACCAAATGGACTTCAGCCCACAGGCCTGTTGCTATATGGTCCAGAGCTAAGAATGGTTTTTATATTTTAAAAAGGACGTTAAAAACAATCAGAACTATGAGACAGAGGGGTACGTGGCACACTCAGTCTAGTTACTATCTAACCCTTTACAGAGAGAGCGTGTTGACCTCTGACCTAAGGCAAGGGTTTGTAGATTCCCTCTGACAGATGAGGAAAGAGGGCTTTGAAAAATAAAAACTTGTGAGTTTGTTTTTAAAAAAATATTATTTGAATTTTTACACCTTTGAAAAGCTTCAGATCACGTAAACTTTCAGACCAGAATTCTCTTTTTCAATGCATTGTTTTTTCATCAGAAAGAAAGCCTCAAAGAGGTCCCAAAGGCCCTTACCAACCTTCTTTAATATCTGCCAATATCTCTGTTGATACGGTCAACAGTAGCTGCAGGGGTGAAGAGCATAATTGGACAAACTCCAGGAAGCACAGGGCATAGAAACCTCGTATGTCAATAACATTTAATTAAGAAGTTAATAAGCAAAAGTGTAAAAAGAACCATTCGCTATAAGAAGGAAGGAAAAATATCATTTTTGATACCTTGGTACCAACCATATATTTTTGCAAAAAAAAAAAAAGTTCTATTTACTCACATTGAAAAAAACAGGCTGTCGTGAGTGTGCTTTTTGGGCCTTGAAGCTTTGCCTGTGCTTGGCTTTCATCTGTGTCTCAGTTAGCAGTCCCTGCGTGTCACCACAGAGAGAATTCTGTGTCAACTTGTATGTGTAATTATTAGAAATTAAGTTGCAGTGATCAAAATCAGTTTCACTGGTCAAACAATTAAACCATTTCAACACTATGAAAAAGTGTGCACTTTGGAATAATGAGAATGGGAGTCATGTAGACATGGCGGGGGCACAACGTCGTGAAGGGACGAAATGCCACTGAATTGTTCACATTAACATAATTTGTTTTGTTATATGGCCTCATCCAATAAATATTTTAAAAAAGAAGATACATCATCAAACAGAAAAAATTAATGCCTGATTTATAGCTAAAAAAAACCCACAAAAACCTCGACACTCCTTAGTAGGCAAATATCATGATCAGGCAATACATAAACAACAGAAGTGGCCAATAAAAGTTTGAAAACACATTTAACTTCAGAAATAATCCGAGAACTTCAAATTAATAAACGATGAAATTCGAGTTCACATATCAAGTCAGCAAGCCTGTTGTATAGGTAACTATTGGCCTGACTTCAAATGCATACTCATATCTCTTTCAAATATGTGCAAAGCCTTTAGGGAACCAGTGCTTAGCAAACAATCCTTGCATAACACGGAGTCACAATCAAGGGTGCCTATCCTCAGGGCAGCCTGTGTGCTCCCAGCCTCGCCTGTGTGGGAGAGCATGAGATCTCTTCCCACTTATGCCCAGGTTAGTGTGACTCTGACCACAGCCCCACCAGCCTCCTCTGCCCAAGGAGGGACTCAGCCACCTCCAGGGCTCCTGGGCGTTTCTGCCCAAGATGTCTTGGGGAAGCCCCTGAGGCACCCAGCAGGTGGTTCCCGCTGGGAGACCCTCAGAAGCGAGGCCCTGGGCAGCCCTGGATGTTCTGAAGCCACTTATCCCACCCAGGACCTCCTCACCAGCCTCATGCACCTTATCATCTGCCCCCTAAGCAGTTCTACTTGTGCCACATTCTCTGCCTCCAGGAGCTCCAGGCCAGGCCAGATCCTGGGACACTCAATACAGGCTGAGACTTTCTGTGAAGTGATAAAAACAATGTGGTTTTCTTGCAGCATTCTTTGGGAAGCATCTTCCCAGAAAACTATATCCAAATTTCTCAGTACTAGCTCTTTTGTTCCCAAGTTTTCTCCTCTTGTGTTCTGGAATCATCTAGATCAGGGGTGGGGAACCTTTTTTCTGCTAAGGGCCATTTGAATATTTATAACATAATTCGAGGGCCATACAAAATTATCAACTTAAAAATCAGCCTGCTTTATTTGGTCAAACATTTAATTCACTCACTGATAATGTCTTGGCAGGGCCAGACCAAAGATTTCTCGGGCCTTATACAGCCCGCGATTGGAAGTTCCCTGCCCCTAATCTAAATAGTGGTCCTGAAATGGGGGCGAATTTTGACCCTTAAGGGATAATGTCTGGAGACATTTTTGGTGTCACAATTGGGGGTGACACTGTCAACTAACTAGTAGGTAAAGTCCAGGGATGCTGTTAAAAATCCTACAAAGCACAAGAAATACCCACCCACTTATTCCCAACCAAGAATTACCGGGCCAAAATGTCAATAGTGCTGAAATTGAGCAATGCTGGTCTGAACAAATTCCAAGTGAGTATCAGTAACTTCTACCCAGCAGGGCCCGGAGCTGGGTGGGGAGGGGGCAGCAAGCATCCTTTGCCCACCCCTGAGCTAACCTCTGCCCGCTACAGGGGGCTCTGCAAGCAATAAGCACTCAGGCTGCAACTTCAACATTTACTGGTTGAGCTGAGGATTGAATTCTAAGCAAGTAAGGGGAACCAAACCCTAAAATGCCGAGTCATTCTTAATAGACACTTTTAGAAAATACATGACTTAGGCCAATGTCTACAATTCCTAGAATGGTTTGCTTCTCTTTCCAAACCCGTGTTTACCTTTATGACTGGATATCTTGGAGATGAACAAACCTGTGGAACATTTTGACAGCACTATTTCTGTCAGTGAGTAGCTAAATGCTAGAATGAGTCAAGGTTTAAAAAACAATATTCAACACGAGTCTCTGAGAAGCTAGAAACTTGGTTGGATAATAATTTAGACAATTTGAGAAGAATGTAATTAAGTGGTTTATTTTATATTGAGAGGTAATTCACATACCACACAGTGCATTTAAAGTTTACAATTCAATGATTTTTAATATTATTCAGAGCTGTGCAACCATCACCACAATCGGCTTTAGAACATTTTCAATCACCCACAAAAACACACACCTGTAATTATCAGTTACTCCCCATTTCCTCCTCTCCTCAGCTTCTGGCAACTACTAATCAACTTTCTGTCTCCATGGATTTGCCTATTCTGATCATTTCATACAAAGTGAATCATATAATAATGTAATTGACTTTTTTCACTTAGCATAATGTTTTTCATAAGGTTCATTCATGTTATAACATTATTTTTTATTGCTGAATGATATTTTGTTCCATTAGCATAATAACTTCATGTAGCTACTCATTCGTTGATGAACATTTTAGTTATTTCCAGTCCCCAGTGCCCCTGCAGCTTTGATTCAGGTCCTTGCCTCTCACAAACAAGCTCCAGGTAGGACTCCCTGGGTCCAGGCTGACCCCTCTAAACCATTCTCTACTTCTTCACAAGAGGAACATTTTAAGAACACAAAGCCAAACATAGCACGCCATCCTAGGTGGCTGCCCCAGTCTTTAGGAGAAAGCTCAGGTCTGTGGAATTGCGACCCCCTCAAAAAAGAGAAGTTGAAGTCCTAAGCCCCAGCATCTCAGAATGTGAGCATCACCCCAGCTGGTGAGGCTCAGTGGTTGAGCGTTGACTTATGAACCAGGAGGTCATGGTTTGATTCCCTGTCAGGGCATATGCCTGGGTTGTGGGTTTGATCTCCAGTGTGGGGTGTGCCGGAGGCAGCCAATCCATGATTCTCTCTCATCATTGATGTTTCTATCTCTCTCTCCCTCTCCCTTCCTCTCTGAAATCAATAAAAAAAATATATATTTTAAAAAAAGAAAAGAATGTGAGCTTCTTTGGAAACAATCTTGGCAGAGACCATCAAGTTAACATGAGGTCATTAGGGTGGCCCCTGATCTAATATTACTGGTGTCCTTATAAAAAGGGAAATTTGGATACAGACATATACAGAAGGAAGACAATGTACAGGGAGAAGATGGACACGCAATTGGAGTGATACATCTGTAAGCCAAGGAAGACCAAGGATTGCAGGCAAACCCCAGGAGCTGGGAGAGGCAAAGAAAGATCCTCCCTAGAGCCTTCAGAGGGAGCATGGCTCTGATTTGGTTCTGCCCTCCAGAGTGTGAGACAATACGATAATACATTTCTCTTGTTCTAAGTTCCCCAGTTTGGGCTCTTGGTTTCAGCAGTCCTGGGAAGGGAATGTACCCGTTTTCTTCCGCCTCCTGCTTCCTGCTCTTGCACACTCTGCAAGTTTCCTGGGTCATTTAGTTCTCTTACCACTCAGAATGCTTCCTGCCATTCCCATGCCTCTGTGCAGGAGTAGGTGGGAAACACCAAAGCATTTGAGAATGAGTTTTAGGGGCATGATGTGGCATCAACTGTGACTTAGTGTCATGCAAAGAGCCATTAAAATGGGTGTTGGGAAAGGCAGAATCACTCATGCAGTCTTTGGGCCCCATTCGCCTCATAAGATCCAGAGACAGAGAAGCATTGATCAGACCATCAAACCTCAGAAGGTAAGCAGGGGAGGGTGGCGGAAAGGGGGAGAGATCAACCAAAGGACTTGTATGCATACATATAAGCATAACCAATGAACACAGGGATGAGAGCATGAGTGGGGGGTCGGGGGACCATGGGGGGATAAGGACACATGCGTAATACCTTAATCAAT